GTGAGAGAGAGGGGGGGAGAGAGAGAGAGAGCATGCATGTCTTATATGTCAATTTATGGCATAGGACCATGTTGGCGAACCTGTGGCCCTATTTCAGAAGGGTCGTTATTTTTTTTTAAATGGTACTGAGATTGAAACATAATGGTAGAAAAGTGCAATAATTAATGTATTGAATTTGCATAATCAGAATGCAAATTAATAATATGCATAACTATTATAATGTGCATAATGTGCAAATCAGATACTCTGATATGTTGGGCTGAGATATAGCAACTCTAAATCAATTAAGCTATAGCTTGACTTTGTTTTACTTCAGTACAGCCAAAATGAAAGAAAATGGATGACTGATGAAACTCTTCAAGCAGTTAAGGTCAGACTAGAAGCAAAAGTAAAAGGAGAGAATAATCTAGTCAGAACCTGAATGCAACTGTTCAATGACTTGTGCTCAAGGACAAGGAGAATTACTATAATAATCAATGCAAAGATACAGAAGATGACAAAAAAGCACAAGAGATGCACAATCTGAAGTATCAAAGGGAAATCTGAACCAAGAGTGGGGATGCTTTACAACCAGCCTGAGAACACTTTTCATAACCAAGTACAAATAAAAAGACAATTGAAACAATACTCTGAAGAACTATATACAAGAGAAAAAAGGATGACAGATTAATTCAAGGAAGAACTATTTGAACATTTTTAGAAATTGAAGTGGAATATGAACTCAGAGCACTTGGGAGAAATAAATACCTAGGAATAGATGACATACCAATAGGGTTGCTTGAGACTAGAGAGAGAGAATCTACTCTTGTTCTAAGTAAAATTTGTCAACAAATATGGAAAACAAAGCAACTTCCCACAGATTGGAAACACTCCATATCCATCAATATACACTAACCACAGGATCATTACATTAATTTTCCATGTAAGTAAAATGATGCCTAAAATTCTACACTACAACAAAGACTTTTACCATATATGGAGAGAGAAATTCCAAATGTCAAAGCTGGGTTCAGGAAGGGAAGAGTCACTACAGATCATTTTGCAAACATGTTGGATAATAGAGTGCACCAAAGAATTTCAGAAGAAAATCAGCAAAATGTTTACAGCAAAATGTTTGATTGTGTAGATCATAAAAAACTTTGGATCACTCTCAAAGAAATGAGTGTACCACAACATTTGATTGTCCTGATATGTAAGCTGTACTCAGGACAAGAGGCTACCATCAGGACAGAATACAGAGAAACAGAATGGTTTCCAAGTGGCAAAGGGGTCAGGCAACCCAACATTTTATCATTGTTTCTGTTTAACCTATACATTGCACACATCATACATAAAGCAGGATTATACACAGAGGAAGGAAGTGTAAACATTGGAGGAAGGAACATCAACAGTTTAAGATATGCAGATAACACCATACACCATACTAGGAAACAACAGGGATGTTAGTGTGGGAGTCTACTACAGACCCC